ATATATATATATATAAATATATATATTAATATATATATATGTATATTATTAGTAATAACATGTATATATATAGAGTTTAGGCGCAAGCATACTTCTGTACAATGCATACAATACATAAACGAATGAATCAATCCCTTTCTTTCCTTTTATTTCATAAGAAGAAAGGAGTTTGGTTAGTTGATTTTGTTCTACATTAGGATAACTCCGCATGCCGCGCTGGGATTTACGCCGCAGAAGTCAGAAAAAATAGAAGGAATGGGGGTAATTTCCCCGCAACTACTCTGTTACATGCCTTTATGTTATATTAGTGTTGTGTTATGATTTCAGTTTCTTACTGTTAATATTAATGAAATTATTGTGAGTTGAATCGGTTTGTTACTGTATTAAGTAACGCCATCTTAAATTATAATCTACATAAAATGATTACTGTAGAACGTGCAAAAAAACTTTGTAGTTATTTCATGATATATGAGTGTAGAGGAATAGTAAAGCATGTTGTATATAACAAAAAATACAAATACTTTGCTCTTGTATTCTTTGTTTAGTTTGTTGTCTTGTATATCCCATCTGTTTGGGATATAAGGCATTTTTAACAAGCGGGATTTATGCCCAAAGCATACAAAGTGCACAGATTGAATTCAATGTACTGATACAATTAACGCATTACATGAAATATGTACCTCATGTCATAACACTTGTAATACATCTGGGGAGATTGTAATTATTATTTATTACTTCATGTACATATTTATCATTCTGATTCCTTAATAAAACTTTATAAACGCATTTTATAAGTTATTGTGTCATTTTACGTCTTATTTAAATGCGTTATTTGTAAATTTTTTATGAGTCATACGTACTCCCCCTCTTCCTATAAGTAGGTCCATATATCCCATCCCTATGGGTATATACAGCAAAAATGCAAGGGTTTAAAAAAGTTCATTTTTTAATACACGAAATATAAATATTTCAGATTTCTAATATTTTTTTCATAATAGTAGACAGTACAAAGTTTTTATTGATTCGTTTACTTAAAACATAGTAAATAATACTTAATAAATTAAGTTTCTGATAGGTGCGGGGTATACCGGAGTTACCCTATGTGTTATGCATTCCCGGGAAAAAATGTTACATAAATGGACATATTTTATATATAATCATATATATAAAATACGCCAATTTTTTATACAATTACAGGTATATTTAAACAAGTCGATTTAATTGGGTTTCTCAATAAGCATAGATACTTTTTAAAATGCATTGCCAAAAAGTGCATTAAATGCGGATATAATGCAGGACGAAAATGTGCTTTAAAAGTGCATTTACAATCCGCTTTTAATGCGGATTTCAATATACATTTAAAGCGCATTATATTCGCATTGGCACTCCTTGAGTAATAACTTCACTTTTAATACACAAAATTGGAAAAGCTCTCTTATTTCACGATTGACAATCGAGCGGAGACTAGCGTATTCAGCACAGTAGTCTGCATCTTCGCGCTATCTGAAGCAAGCGTCCACATGTCCGTACACGTTTTGATTATCGAAATAGAGCTTATATACTACTGGTGGGGGAATACGGACATCGAGCTGTGAGCAAGATCTAAAGGACGGAATTATTTTTCTAT